AGTGGCGTATTTAGGATTTTTTCTAGGGGGTGGATGACAAGAACTGTAGTAAACAGACCCGTGGGGGGCTACGCCCCCCACACCCCCCAACAACACAACAATGACATAATTACTTTAAATTGCATATAAATATTTATTTTTATAATATATAATTTTCATATTATATTACATCTTAATATAATCAGTAACAATCTCAGTAGTCTCATTTAATACTTATAAAAGAAGGTCAATTTTTCTTGGGTCTAATGCCAGCTCATCTATGACTTCATCAACTTTTATTTCAATGTCTCGATGTATAGACATCAATGATAAACCGTTTAATCTCGTCTAAATGTACATTTATAATGTAAGTTTATTTTATTATAAAGGATCAAATAATTCAATTACCTCTTTCATAGAATTTCTCAAATACGTTTTTATACGTTTCATGCTTGAAAAACTTCTCTCTGGTTCAGCTGTTGAGACAGGAAGTGTGCAAAATATTTTTATCAAAAAATGTACATTGGGGAAAACATCTTTATCACATATTTTTATTGCTTCTAAGGCATTTTTGAACACAGCATCCTGAATTTTATTTTTCCAAATCTGTAATTCACTGATACAAATATCAAAAGTTTCAACATGGGGTGAATAAAATTCAACAAGTGTTTTGAATTCTTCCCTCTCTTCTTTATTCAAGCTTGTTTTGAAAAGACAATCAAATCCTAAAATAAAAAAAATATATTATACATGCAACATTTACTAGATTAAAAAAAATACTACTCACCATTAAATATTGATTTATGATTTAAAAATCTGGTTGACAATTGACTGATAAAATTATCTAAGTATGGCACAAACACCGTCACTCTGTAATAATCTTCAACTGAATTAGTATTGGGTGGATTTTCTCTGTTTGTTTGTTTTCCTACAACTCTTTTCTTTGTCAATTCCAAATCAAATTCACTAGCTATTTTCTGTTAACATAAATAATATATTAATTGTGTTATATTATTTTAAGAGAGTTCACCTCAGAACAATTTTTTTAATTTTTTTTATAATTAATTTTATTGAATATTTATATTTTAACAAATAAAATCCAATGCTAAATTACCTCTACATTTTCATATAAAATATGAAATTCATTTTTGGCATCTTCTCTAATTTTTTTTAGCGTTATTATTAAAACTTCAATCATATTAACAGTACATTTTAAATCGATACGTTCTTTCTGCAATAATTTACATAGTGGAAGTCCAAAAGAAAAAAGTAACTAGACAAATTAAAATATTATTAAAGATACACATAGTTTACACCACACAATAAGGATCATACTTTACTAATAAAGTGTCAAATAGCATAAACTGGTGGAGTTTAATCCATAAAATTCCACTGGTAAGCACTAAGCGCTAACTGACACTTTAAAGCAAATTGTAAGAACGGCCCTAAATGTATTAAAAAAATAGTAGGTACCTTTGTGACACTTAAGGCAATTAGGAACTCAGAATCAAGTATACATTTTTTAAGGATACTTGCATCTGTTGTATCACTCCATTCTGAACAAATTGTATCAAGTGCTTTAACTACAACAGGAAATAGTTCATAGAAATCATTCAGAGAATCATATTTTTGTACCCATCTGGTAACACAAAGTCTTTTAAGGGTTTTGACACGAAACTCTGTATCACTTTTCTCTATTTCACTTATCAGTACATTTTGCCTTTTAGGGGTAGGTATTGAAAAATACATAAAGTTTTTCAACTACTCCTAAGCAATTTCTTATTGATTTGATGTTGCATGAAGTAGATACAGCAAGATTCAAACTATGCGCAGCAAAATGTACATATAACGCCTTTGGATATTTTTGTCTTATGACTGTTTGGACACCATTATATTTTCCCGACATGTTGCTTGCACCATCATAACCCTGGCCATAAAGGAAGTCACAATCGATACCACAACTACTTAAAGCTTTGGAATAATAATAAAATATAAAAATATTGGCAAATAAATATTAACATAATGTAAAATAGAAACACTCACCATTTAAAATAGAGGATGCTAGGTCGGACCCAGTTAAACTTTCAATTACATAAAATTGAAGGAAGTCTTCATGAAGAATAGCATCATCATCAATATACCGTACAGTAAGTGACAGCTGCTCTTTTGTTGATATGTCGGTAGTCTCATCAGCCAAGATGGAAAAACATTTAGCAGAGTTTACTTTGGCAACAATTTTTTTTATGATAATTTTATTGCATGATTCTATGATTTGATTTTGAATAATTGGGCTTATATACTTATTCCTTTTACCAGGACCCTCTAATATGTTTTTTAAAAACTGATCACCTTTGGCTCGATACTTAAGAATAGCACGGAAATTGCCTTCTCTAGATCCGTCATGGTCATCTAATCAATTATGAATACAAAATAATAATATAGTATAAGAATAAAAAAAAAATAAGGGGCATACTAATATACCATCAACAATAATTCTCCCATAGTCACTATGCCCTCTCAATGGAATTTCTTCACGTCCACACAACAAAACACATTCTATGATCGGAATCAATCTTTTTCTATTTTCGATGATTTTAGCACGTCTGTGGAGTGTTGGTAATAAAAATATAACTAACCATATAAAGTGTTATAGTTCTACTACATAATATACTCATGCAACTCATTTTACAGTATTGCATTGAGTTTTGTTAAGCTGACCTGTTAGAATCTATTTTTTCAACTATTGTCGGCTGATTATTTTCTTTTATTCTAATAAAATGTTCAGAGTCAGTAACTGAAGCAATATGATATTCTCTAGCTTGATGAACACCTAAAGTCTGTACAGATAAGTGTAAGATAAGTTTTAAAAGATCAAAAAAACAATTATATTTTGGTACAATGTTTTTTTTTTTTTACTCTATGTGCATTTTTATACTGCTGGAAAGGAGATATTACAAGATTTCCCAAAGGCTGGTTTCCAACACCACCTGTATTACCAGCAAATACTACGCAGTACTTGCAAAAAGCACCATTTAAAGCTTTAGAATAAGCAAGCCAAGAATATTTATCAAGCCATGCATACTGAAATTTTAAGCTCCTGCATTTATTAAGTTCCAATAACGGAAAGTCATAATTTTTTTGGGGCTTCCATACATTTTTTAAAACCTTGAACAGTCAAAATACCATTTTAATTACCTATAGTCTTATAATCTATATAATAATTAACTCTTACCAATAGTTTTTCTTCGTCAGATAGACGTCGATTGACAAACAAACTTATATCGGTTGAAATTACATCGTTACAAATAGGTACCTGTGGCTGATTATTTTTTGAGTTTTCTGAATCAGAATCTTCATCTTCACACGGCCTTTTAACTCCAAGGTTACCCTTACTTGTAAAAAAGGAAGTTATTTTTGGATTAACTGCCTTCATGATGATATTATTATTGAAAAAAAATAATAGTCACAAACATAAAGTAAGAATGTATGAAATGAACATTAACTATAAACTAAATAAAAATCGTATTGTGTATTTGTGTAACGGTAAAGTAAACAGACCTACAGACCGTATGACCGACCGACGAACGACCGACCGGATGAACATAGGAACGGAGCCAACGAAATATACCTAGTTGCTAATTGCAAATTGCTATTGACTTGCGTTCTCGACTAGCCGTGAGATTAACCATTTAACTATAACCACGGTCTTAGAATAATAACCGTGGCTACGAGAAATTTAATGATAATATCAAAAACCTCTGTTATCATAAATAATTTTTTTGATAATTATCAAACCTAACTTATCAATTAATATCTATATTCTATAATATATTAGAATTTAATAATTAGTACATAATATTATAATTTATATTATACAATCTCAAAGAGCCATGGGGGCGGATCTGTCCCCAGATCCGCCCCCGTAAATACGCCCCTGCATAAATCATTGTCAATACATACATCGATTTGCTCAGAACCCAAAATATGAAATTGATAATAAATTAAATACGCATATTATATATTAATAAATAATAATTTATTTATTTAATTTTTATTTCACTAATTGAAATGATGATGTCTCAAAAATGCTGCAAGCTTGTGTAGAAGATACAACGTTCTATACACTATACCTAGTTTAACTTGTAAAAATTAGAATATATACAATATATAAATAAAACTAATCATAAAAATATTTAAATAAATATATATAATCCAAAACAAAAATGTCTAATAATAACTGCTGGTTATTGTAAGATAATATAACAATATATAGACATTATTTCAATAGGTAAAAATTTCATTTTTATACTAATATATTTATTGTAGGTAACTGTTAAAATTATTAAAAATATTGATGTTAATACCAAATTGATTACCTACCTTACCTATCTAGTATCTACACATATAGGTACCAATACTAATATTAAGAGGATCACTTTTCCCAAATTCACATATTTTGATACAATGATACCTAACCCATTTCTAATTTCTGTAGAATACGGTGTGTTATCTTTCTATTTGTGATATGGTTTAAAGAATACAAAATTTGGATTATTCTTAATAACAAATATTTCGTTTTATTATTTGTCATGTTCACCACTAATAAATTATAAGCTTCATTAGCTATTTAGCTTTGTCTTCGTTTTTAACCACAACATAATTTTGATTGTTAAGTAGGTACTGAAATTATATTAATTCATTATTTTAATTCTTATTTAAATATTCATTTATCACTTTCCAGACCATTTTTGTATCTTTATTTAATATTTTTATTTTATTGAACTAATACACTAATACAAATTTTTTGCTAATTTAATTCAAAATTTTTATATTTGTAATACCATCATAGCATAGAACAATATGATCATAGATCAATTTATAATACCTGAGGTTTTAACAGTTTAAATATCTACTATTTATTGTTAAGGGGCCTGCACGTGACCTGTTTTTTTGCTGAAAACATGCCTTACAGGAAAAACTCTCATGCCTCGTAGAGTGTTACGATTTCAATCATTTTTTTTTTTTTTTTGAAAGAGATACTTCTTACAGCGCGCATTGGACTTAGATTTTTAAAATTCTATTTCTAAACTATACAATACGATTTTGAATATGACCAATTTTTCACAAGATTTTGTTACTTTTATTATGTTTGTTTTAAGCGACGAAATTAAAAATCTAAGTCCGATGGGCACTGTAAAAAATTATACTCTTTCTAAAGAGAAAAAAAATTAATCAAATCAGACCACTCTACGATGCCTGAGGGCTGAGATTTTTTCCCGTAAAGTATGTTTTGAGCAAAAAATCATGCATTTTATTTTTGGTTGGTGGTGCCGTTGACAATACGTGTGCACATGCAGTGCGTTTGTAGATAGCCCGGTACAGCATACAATCACTCACACTAATCATTATTGACAACTAACACAAATGCCATTGGTGCCGGAAACGAAATTGCATATTGCCTAAATATTGCGCCTTATTAAGACACACGAGCAGGCCCCTTAAGGCAGTCTACTTGAGAGCGCTAGTATCGTTTTTTTAAAATTCCGGATTTTTACGGTCCACGATATTATGGTCCGCACATTTTTATTTTCCGGATTTTTACGGTCCGGGATATAACGGCCCGTACATTTTAACTTTCCGGATTTTTACGGTCCGGGATATAACGGTCCATACATTTTTATTTTCCGGATTTTTACGGTCCGGGAATATACGGTTTACAGCTTTCCGGATTTTTACGGTCCGTGATATTACGGTCCGAATATTTACATTCCGGAATCGTACGGTCCGTTCAATTATTTTCCGGGATTTTACATGCGTCC